TCTCTGAGTCCGACTGCTTGCTCTGCGCTGACTTGCCGGCATGTGTTTGAGGACTCGGAGGAGCACCGCTCGTGGCCTTATGGGGACGGTTAGGGTTAGGGTTAGGGTTACTTCTTCTCCCCACTTCTACCAGCGAGCCTCTGTTGAGCCCTCCCCCAGTCCTTTTCGCTGACGAGAACCTTCGAGAGGAACCTGCCAGGAGTTGGCTGGACTCGCAGGGATCTGAGGTTATGACAGTAAATGGAGACGTTTACGGTACGTCAAATTCAGGTACGCTGCGCATTGGGCTCTATGCACGGTCACCTCTGCGTTTTTCCTCAGGATGCTTATTTACATCCGGTGCTGCGCCGGAAACCATTGTTCCTAATGGAGAGCTTTCAAATGACAGAGGAGAAGACGACTTTTCAGCTTACAAGAATTTCCCCGGATTACTGTAAATGCTGTTCATCGCAGTCCGAGTCTGTCAGCTGTCACACCAAAATGGAGAAGCACATTAAGCGTTTCAAGTTACATCGACAACTTTAGGGTGAGTGTTGTGCTATGGTCTTCTAGCAAATATAGCTAATAAGGCTGGACAATGATGCCTGACTTTTGCGTCGATTTTATCAGCACTTAAATTCACCTCAAGTTTTTTATGACTGCTAAGAGATAGTAGCAATAACAACGGAGCTCCCAGTTTGTCTGTATCTGTCATGTGGCTCTGACAGGTGTTTGCTGTGATAGGAACATCTTCACTTGACACAAAATATTTTAAATACTGTTCCCATTTTTAGATTGCCATGTATCGTAATACACCTTAATTCTGACAGTTCATACTTATATTTTCAGTTATTTTATCATCTGTACCCTGAAGCTTGAATTGATTGTTTACATTTAATTTAGCAGTTTTCCAGGGATCCCAAACACAAACATGGTGAAGCTGTTTAGTAAAAAAGCAAACAAGATCATAAATGGTTACGAAGGCTAGGGGCATTCTATTAAATATTACACATAACACTTTTTTCAGTGTATTGTATGTTTGTAATGTTATATAGACTATTTATTCTTCATTTAATTTTTTAATATTTTTTAATTTACAATGTAACAATTTAAAATGCAACTGAAAGTAATTCAAAATGCATCTGAATTAAATTCAATATGTAACTCAATCTAATTATCTTCACAGGTTGTTTTAAAGGACTCACAGCCTGTTGTTGTGTTGCAGGGACAGCAGTGTGCATCCATATTGTTGCAACACATATATAATTAATAAACTTTGATTAATAATATTAACATGCCCCACTGGTATGCCTAGGGAGTCAAGTCAGGGCCTGTCAATGGGATGGTGGTTCTTATTGCAAGAGAAAAGAAACTCACTGAGATAATAAGGTATGAGTAGACTGTAAATGTATCACAGTCTAATATAGTTACATTATCTTTTCATATCTTGCTATATTTTTACTATATAACATGCCTATTAGGCCTTGCAGAAAAAAGACAAAACAAAGTCATAGTGGATATGGCACCTTGATCATGTAAAAAGTAAAAACTTTGTTTTAATGGTCACTTTACCCTATACCTTTTTTTTGTCTCAGGAGAACGCTTTATAGAGGTGTCAGCAGCGAGTTGCCAGACCTATCAGTCCTTCAAGAGGCAGAAGTGTTAAAAAAGACCATTACACTATCAGAGTTTTTACTATTTAGTGTATTAGTATTTTACATAACCATTACACTGTATCAAAGTTACTTATACTTACATGTTTAGATTACACTGATGAACAAGAAACAGTATTGAAGTTATATATATATTTAAATTTACATTATATTCAATTTACATTTTATATTAGAGTCTGTACAAATAAAAACAAATGAATCAAGCAAACAAATGCATGAAGAGGAAGAACTCATCAATGAGATGCAGAGACACTGTCAAAAATAAATTTAAAATAATTATGATACATATAATGCATGTAATGTGTGCATCAAGAGAAAAAAATAAATATAAATAACATTTATTTTCTTTTTCTGTCCCAAAGAATGCAATATCAATATTTCCTCGCTGTAGCTGTCCTTGCTCTGGTCACATGAACCATGTTGTGTGATGCAGGTTCAGTAAGTCTCCAAAAGGCCAATGGTGAATCACAAATCTAGATTGGATGTGAGACATGATTTCAGAAAATACACACCACAAAATCTAATAACAATGCAAGTTAGTTTGTCTACGCTGAACCTGAAGGTTACTTTAAAATGTATGGTTAATGTATTGACATGTAAGTACTCCCTGATAGCACACGTACATCTCAGAGACGTCTATTTGATGTCTACATTTACATCTGTAAGATGTATTTTTTTAGTGTTTGCTCATCTGCAATACATCTATAGGACGTTTCCTATCAGATGTCAAATAGACGTTTAGAAGATGTCTTTAAGATGTTTATGATTTAGAATGCATGTAAAACTGACATCTTAAAGACGTCTGTCAGATGTTTGTACACAGCAGATGCTTTCCAGACGAAGCGATCTTTAACAGACATCTTGCAGACGTACCTGTGCTATCTGGGCTTATTTTAATTTTTAAGTGAATCATCTATTAACTCGTTAACACGTATTGCCCAGACCCACAGAGGTTTTTCAATAAACAGGCAACCACAGCGCCCCTGTTCACCTTAGGCGTACAATGTGCTTGGTAATATAGCAGATTATAAGGGTTAGGTCCTCCCTAGTGTAGACTTACCTAGTGTATTGCGAGTTTCTTCATCCGGGGGAGAAGTGTGGAAAACATTTGGGAACCTTCACAAAACGGGACAGCACAGATCGCTTGACAGAGAGTGAAACTCTGAAGCGCTCAGTCAGCTGTGTTGAGGAGTAACAGAATTACATAATTTAACTAGATGAGTAAAGTTTGAAGACAAACTTTAAGTTGGCTTGAAAAGCCTAGCCAGAAAGTTTGAAGTAGTTTTAAAAGCTTGCATCCTGAAAGTTTTCAGTTTGGAGTAGTTTAAAAGTTAAAATAGTTTTAAAGATTAAAGTTTGAATGTTTTCAAGGCAATACAGTCTATCAGAAAAACAGATAGGTATAAAACACATTGCTAAGGTACCTGGGGTGGTTGCTAGGCTGTTTCTAGCATGACTAGCATGTTGTTTACATATTTTTAGCATGATTAGCATGTTACTAGCATGTTTGCTAGCATGATTAGCATTTTTCTAGCATGATTAGCATGTTGCTAGCACAATTAGCATGTCACTAGCATGTTGCTAGCATTATAAGCATGTTACTAGCATGTTGCTAGCATGATTAGCAAGTTACTGGCATGTTTTAGCATGATTAGCGTTACTACCATGTTGTTAACATAATTAACAAGTTACTAGCATGTTGTTAACATGATTAGCAACTTACTAGAATGTTGTTGGCATGATTCTAGCATGATTAGCAAGTTACTAGCATGTTTCTAGCATGATTAGCATGTTACTAGCATGTTGTTAGCATGATTAGCAAGTTACTAGCATGTTGTTAGCATGATTCTAGCCTGATTAGCATGATTCTAGCACTCGTTTTCATCCTTCTCTCCACTCTCTGAGGCAGAAGTCTCTAAACTCATCCTTTCCAATCATCCTTTAATTCAGTAAAAAAACCCGCTAAAAAACAGCTAAGACCAGCCTGTCCTGCTAAAAAAAAAGTGGCCAAAACCACTTAAAAACCAGCTTGGGAGACCACTCAAAGCAGTCAATCAGCTTAGGCTGGTTTTAGCTGTTTTTTTCAGTAGGGAGTTGTTAAAACACATTTCATTACACCAAATACACAAAATAATGTTCTTTTTAGCAGCATCATATGACCCCTTTAAATACACCATAAGTCTTATTGTATAAAAGTTTGCACCCCCTCAATGAAAGTCTATGGGATTTTAGGTGGTTTTGATAGTCTGGCTTATGAAAACCGTAAGCCGGATCAGTTAGAAAAGATATAGCACACCGAGTCAGACCAGTCTGAGGGTCTGATCCGAGTTTGGTGGTTGTAGCTTTAAAAGTCTAGGAGGACATACATTTTAAAATTTGGTCTCAGAAGGAGAAGAAGAAGTTTAAATAGGATTTAAACATCCTATTTTTCATTTCATTTCATCTTTTTCAAGCCAACTTAATTAGAAAATAAATGTAACTGTAATCTGTTACAGTTACTGAGAAAAATGTGTAATTAAATTAGTTACTTATGAAAATGTTGAAGATTACAAAGGGGGTTACATATGAATATTTTCATCCACATAAAGATTTGATTGATTTCTTTCCCATTGACTGCTTTAAAATATGACACACCAATGTTTCAGGAGTTCAGGACACAGAACAGAGTGGGGGAACTATGACGTCACTTTGTAGGCAGATCGGCTGTTAGCATGACACTGGTTCCCTCCACAAAAAGCCAAAGCTCTGGACACCTGCTTATTTTATAACTCTTTTATTTCCTATTTTGGTTAATGTATATGCTTTATTTTTTAAGATTAACTGGTTTTTTGTTTTTTTCCCAAAGCATTGTTAGATTCAAGTGTTTGCTGTCATAGCTATGCAAATATTTGATTTCAAAAAGAGTATCTTATGATTTTAAATCTGTATTCTCTCAATAATAATAATCAAGGAACTTTGCTGCCGTACCATGCGTGCAGCAGGCGCAATGATATTACGCAGCGCCTGAAAATAGACTTATTGGAAGTTACCTAGCTGGGACTATTTTCAGGCGCTACTTTCTGTTTCTGAATCATTTTTAAATGATTTAAACAGCCATTCAGGTTTGTGTATTTGCTATGATGTTCATCACAGTGCCAAATACTTAAATATTTAGACTTAATAGGCTATTTATTTTCAAACTTTTTTTACATTTTAATCTGGATATATAACCCTAGATATTGTTTGAAAGTGTTTTGATTCTTTATTGTTCGGTCACACTTTACATTAGGGCTTCATTAGTTAACATTAGTTAATTCATTAGTTAACATAAACCATTTCAATTTTACAACTCAGATCCTTATTTAATTCATATTTGGCTTGGACTCAAAATGATAAGTGAAATTCAGAAGAAGAAAAAAACAATTAAACACGCCACGTGGGGCATAGTTTTACATCATATGATCTGAGATGTTTTTCATTGTGGGTCTGCATTGCAAAATCATCTGAAATCAAACCCGTGGATCAGGATGCTTGTGGTCTCTATTAAAAGGCAAGTGGCTTTTATCGTATATGAACGTGGACGTTTTCCCGAACTCTCGACGGTCAGGTGAACGGATGAACAAACCTCACGGTCCATCACGGCGCCCCGCAGAGCAGTGCCGCGTCAGAGGCGGATGAGGATGAAGCCCGGCTGGAATGAGCGGCGGAGGGATCTGTGTTCGTGCGCTCAGGCCATCCGCTCTTCCGCCCAGTTTTCCGATGTGATTCGTCTGCGCTGAAAATGGAGTTCGCGTAAAGCAGATCCCACAAACTTCCCAGGAAGAATTCCCATCGCTCGGCACGTTCTTCTCACGCATTCTGTCCCAGTCTTAGACTCTGGTTCACCTCCAGCCGAGCAGCGGACAGCAGCGGGCTCTTCGTCCGATCTCTGACATTCTGCCGAGTGAAGCTGTCGCCTGATCGGCTCGTGTGGGTTTTCCAAACTCGCTTTCGCTGGGATTTTGGGATTTTTGTGGGATCAGGATGAGGCAGGCGCTGATGGTTTCCCCGCTGGATGTGATTTATCGGTCAGACGGGTCGAAGTGTCGCTTTCACTGCTTCCACACTCCCTTCCCGTTCTGAGCCCAGTGCAGCATGCTCGCCTGCGGAGCGGGTCGCTTTCTGTCAATAATGGCCTTTCGTGGTGTTTTCACCGAGGATATGGAGATATTTGCGCTTTATTTCCCCGCCGTGAGTGCGAGCTCGATCATATTTCCAGGATTTGGATCCCCGTGAGAAAAAATGAGCGAAGAATCAAATCCAAACAGCGAGTAAGTGCGCACACACACGCGCAGATGAACACAGCACAGAATGTGTCTGATATATATATATATCCGCAAATAAAGATGTATTATAATATCTAAACTCACGATTTCTGATCATATATCTTGTCTGTTCGACCACTGTAAACTTGTAACTGTCATATTTGTTTATGGTAGCGAATGACGAAAACGAGCTGTCAGGTAGCGTAATGATGGAGACACTTATTTTGACGCGTAATAATGAGCAGGATGTTTAAGTTCTGTAGTAGATGTGTAGTAAACGCAGTGCAGGTTCGAGTGCTGCTCTGCCGGGAGTTTATGCGGGATGTGAGAGGGGTTAACGCTCAGTCTGATGTTATTTACTGAGATCCATTAGCGCAGTGTCAGGCCGTGTCTCAAACCCTAGCGAGCCGCCTATCTAGGCAGCATGTTTGCGCGTGACAGGCGCCATGTTTTCTCAATCATCACAAGCCTCATTCATAAAAATGTCCCAAACACGAGACCTGACAGCAGCTTTCGCTGCTCCGCGGACGCACTGCGACGGATTTGCCGCGGATCGTTCGCCGTGTTTGGTTTTACGCGCAGTGTTTCTGCTGAAGTTCCTTCTGAAGCGCCGCTGCTGACAGAGAGAGAGAGAGCTGAGCTGGACACTGAGCCGCCTCCATTCATAAAGAACCCACACACTCTCATTTTTATACTGTACAAACTGTATTTTCTCTCACCCTACACCAACCCTACACCTAAACCTACCTCTCACATAAAACTACTGGCAATTTTATGGCAATATGTTTTTTAAGCCTTTTGAATTGCGGGGACACAGGAAGCGTCCTCGTAAACCTCCTTCATATTGTAATACCTGTGTCATACCCATGTCATTATACAAATGTGTGTCCTCATAAACCATATATACCAGTACACACTCACACACACAGGTTTGCTGTACACACTAGGGATGACATTTTCCATAAATTGATTGTCATTAAAATAAGTCAATTAATGACTAATCATAAACATTAATACCACACGGAGAACTCAAAATATCAAATGTGCATACTTGACTTTTTGATATTTTGCCTAATTTAATTACATATACTTAAATTGGTGTTTATGAAATTTAATTAAACTATTTTTTTATTGTTAATACATTTTCAAACTTAAAATATTTGAAAATATGAATTTTTTTTTTATGCTGCAAATCTCAATTTTCTCCTAAGCCAGGTCACTTGCTCTGTATTTTCAACTCCCATTTTAATGATCAGGAAATAATCAGTCCTGATCTATAGTTGATTTCAAACAACTGGACAAAATGACTTTAATTGGTTGATAGATGATTGACAGATTCATCAGTGCATCGCTAATGAGTACTGAATGCAACCGTTTAATGCACAGTCAGTAAACTTTATCAAATGATTAACAATTGATAACTGGATGGTGTTTTGCTGAGTGTGTTTTTGTGCTGGTATCTGGGCTGGTTTAGGCCTGTCGTGTCAGAAGACCTCCGAAGCTTTTCATATTCCTCATATTCTGTTTAGTCATTAGTTCAAATTAACAGATTAACTTCTCCATTAAGGGGTGATATTTACCAACTTAAATTGATTTCCAGGGGCGTTTTTCTAACCTTTTTATCTCAAATTATAACATTTACCAATCCAATGTTCTTTGGCAAAATAGAGACAATAAAAAGACAAGATTGATATTGTTTTTAAAATGTAACTCACAATATTAACTTCTTGGGTAATACTTAATATTAATAGTGAACACATAATCACTATTAACTAATAGTTTTCCCTCAATAAGCTTCTAATTTGCTACTTATTGATAGTAAGTAAGGTAGTTGTTGTAGTAGCTGTGTTTAGGTATAAGTGATCTAGAATATGGTCGTGCATAAGACATTAATATGTTCTTTATAAGTACTAATAAACAGCCACTTTTGGTATCACAGCAATATCATGAAATGCACACACGCAGTAATCTCAGGCGTCGTGATGCAGTGAATGCATGGACTTTCAAAGTGTAGTTTTGTTTGGTTTTGGCAAAATGAGTTTCATACTTGATAATGTCAGATCAAACATTGTTAAAACTAGGGGTCGACCGATTATCGGCACCGATATTTGGTTATCGGTCATTTTCAAAACCGATTTGCCGATACAATAATTTAAAAGCATTTAAAGAGAGTTTTTGTCAGAGCCCTTGTTATTCTTAATTTTGACATTAATTTTCATTTTTACACTAGGGGTGGGAATCACCAGAGGCCCCACGATACGATATTATCACGATACAATATTACTGCGATTTTAAATATATTGCAATATTCTGCAATATATTGCAATTTATTACCTTTTTCCAACTTCAAATTATGTCCCCAAACGAAAACTTTGGCAACATCTGTTTCAACTAAAAAGAAACATTTCTCAGTTTGTTTATCTCACTTCAATTTTATTGCTGCAGTGTAAAATGGGATTGTCAAGCAGACAAACTGACCAACACTTTCATGAAAACCTGTCATAAATGTCGTATGCACCTGGCAAACTCAACTATTTGTATTAGTCTAGTCTAGTCAATCTTAATTAAATGTAAACAGGTATGCACTGCTATGCTACAGGTATTTTGAACAATGCAACTTGAACTTGTTCAAAAAAGTTGTGCAGACCCTTCAGCAATTGGGGCATTTGAAAGTAAATTACTGTTAAATTTAAAATAAAACATAGTCTTACATTAAAATAAAAATGTTACATTTAAAGGGGTCATATGATGTTGCTAAAAAGAACATTATTTTGTGTATTTGGTGTAATGAAACGTGTTTATGCGGTTTAAGGTTAAAAAAACACTTTCTTTTCCACATACTGTCTCGTCTGTTCGGAGCTTTGACTCGTCTGTTCGGATCCTTGACTTGTCTGTTCGGAGCTTTGACTCGTCTGTTCGGACCTTTGACTCGTCTGTTCGGAGCTTTGACTCGTCTGTTCGGATCTTTGACTCGTCTGTTCAGATCTTTGACTCATCTGTTCGGAGTTTTGACTCATCTGTTCGGATCCTTGACTCGTCTGTTCGGATCTTTGACTCATCTGTTCGGATCTTTGACTCGTCTGTTCGGATCTTTGACTCGTCTGTTCGGATCTTTGACTCGTCTGTTCGGATCTTTTGCTGCAGTGTAAAATGGGATTGTCAAGCAGACAAACTGACCAACACTTTCATGAAAACCTGTCATAAATGTCGTATGCACCTGGCAAACTCAACTATTTGTATTAGTCTAGTCTAGTCAATCTTAATTAAATGTAAACAGGTATGCACTGCTATGCTACAGGTATTTTGAACAATGCAACTTGAACTTGTTCAAAAAAGTTGTGCAGACACTTCAGCAATTGGGGCATTTGAAAGTAAATTACTGTTAAATTTAAAATAAAACATAGTCTTACATTAAAATAAAAATGTTACATTTAAAGGGGTCATATGATGTTGCTAAAAAGAACATTATTTTGTGTATTTGGTGTAATGAAACGTGTTTATGCGGTTTAAGGTTAAAAAAACACTTTCTTTTCCACATACTGTCTCGTCTGTTCGGAGCTTTGACTCGTCTGTTCGGATCCTTGACTTGTCTGTTCGGAGCTTTGACTCGTCTGTTCGGACCTTTGACTCGTCTGTTCGGAGCTTTGACTCGTCTGTTCGGATC